CAACAGTGAGAGGCCCAAGTACAGCAAAAAAAAAAAAAAAATCTACAAGCAACAAATGCCGGAGAGGGTGTGGAGAAAAGGGAACTCTCTTGCACTGTTGGTGGGAATGTAAATTGATACAGCCACTATGGAGAACAGTATGGAGGTTCCTTAAAAAACTAAAAATAGAATTACCATATGATCCAGCAATCCCACTACTGGGCATATACCCAGAGAAAATCATAATTCAAAAAGACACATGCAGCCCAACGTTCACTGCAGCACTATTTACAATAGCCAGGTCATGGAAGCAACCTAAATGCCCATCGACAGACAAATGGATAAAGAAGTTGTGGTACATATATACAATGGAATATTACTCAGCCATAAAATGGAACGAAATTGAGTCATTTGTTGAGACGTGGGTGGACCTCGAGACTGTCATACAGAGTGAAGTAAGTCAGAAAGAGAAAAACAAATATCGTATATTAACGCATGTATGTGGAACCTAGAAAAATGGTACAGATGAACCGGTTTGCAGGGCAGAAGTTGAGACACAGATGTAGAGAACAAACGTATGGACACTAAGGGGGGAAAACCACGGTGGGGTGGGGATAGTGGTGTGCTGAATTGGGCAATTGGGATTGACATGTCTACACCGATGTGTATAAAATTGATGACTAATAAGAACCTGCAATATAAAAAACCAACCAAAAAAACTAATACTAAACTTTCTTTGGTTTATTTGTATGGAAATTTGTTAATATGAATGTTTCAGGCATTACATGAAATTTCTAAAAATCTTATATGTTCTAGTATAATGTTATAAGTCATAATTCTAGTTATTACCTTAAAAAGTGTATCTCAGAAATAACTAAATTACCTTGTCATTTGCATTATTATGGACTTTCATCAAATCTTTAACCGTGGTCATTTTTATGTCTTTTGTCATTTACAGACAGTTCTGGGTGTACTCTGATGCTTCTGCAAAAATGTTCCTATAAAAGGGTTTCATCTTCAAGGAATTCATGGAAAAGACTCTGACAAGTACAGGTTTCTGGTAACTGACTATACTGCTGAACTGAATGAATAAGCATTTTCAGAACTCTAATGGAAAAGTGATGAATTCATAAAAGTGCTAACAAAAGATCAAGATGAAAAAAAAATTTATTACATGGGACTGAGTGAACTGATGAGGATGATTATAATTTTTGTGACTTTGTTTGAATTAAAAAAAAATCCCACAAGGACTCAGAGGCAAAAAATATACAAATCAATTTTCACTGCAAAGTAAAGGAGCTGTTACAGTGGAGGATTACTGGACTGAATGTCAATATTATGACATAGTATGAGCGTGTTTCGTGTTTGGTAATTGCAATCATTGTTGCTTTTGTTGTGATCATCCATTTACAATGCTTGGTGTCCATTTACTTATCTCTTGTAAAAATAAAATACAGTGTGTGTGTGTGTGTGTGTGTGTGTGTGTGTGTGTGTGAGAGAGAGAGAGAGGAAAAAATAGGAAACCATCAACAAAACAAAAAGACAACCTACGGAATGGGAGAAAATATTTGCAAATGATGCAACATACAAGGGGTTAATATCCAAAATATACAAACAGGTCATTCAACTCAATATCAAAAAACAAACAACCCAATCAGAAAACGGGCAGAAGATCTAAATAGACATTTCTCCAAAGAAGACATACAGACGACCAATAGGCACATGAAAAGATGCCCAACATCATTAATGATTAGAGAAATGCAAATCAAAACCACAATGAGATATCACCTTACACCTGTTATAATAGCTATCATCAAAAAGTCCACAAATAGCAAATGTTGGAGAGGATGTGGAGAAAAGTGTACCCTAATACACTGTTGGGAATGTAAACTGTTCAGCCACTATGGCAAACAGTATGGAGGTTCCTTAAAAAACTAAAAATAGGGACTTCCCTGGTGGTCCAGTGGTGAAGACTCTGGGCTCCCAAGGCAGGGGGCCTGGGTTCAATCCCTGGTCAGGGAATTAGATCCTGCATGCTGCAGCTAAGATCCCTGGCACAGCCCAAATAAATAAAAATAAACAAATAAATAAATATTTTTTAGAAACTAAAAACAGAGCAGCTATATGATCCAGCAATCCACTCCTGAGTATGTATCCAGAAAAGACGAAAATTCTAATTCAAAAAAACACATGCACTATGAATAGTGCTGTTCACAGCAGCACTATTTACAATAGCCAGGACATGGAAATAACCCAAATGTCCATCAACAGGTGAGCAGCTTAAGAAGATGTGGTATATATATACAATGGAGTCTTACTCAGCCATAAAAAATAATGAAATATTGCCATTTGCAGCAACATGGATAGACCTAGAGAATATTATATTTAGTGAAGTAAGTCAAACAGAGAAATACTATATAATATCACTTATATGTGGAATCTAAAAAATAGTACAAATGAACTTATTTACAAAACAGAAACAGACTTACAAAGAAAAAAACCCTATGGTTACCAAAGGAGTGAGGGAGGTGGGGAGGGACAAATTAGAAATATGGGATTAACATGTATAAAGTACTATACATAAAACAGATAAGCAACAAGGGTTTACTGTATAGCACAGGGAACTACATTTAGTATCTAATAAATACCTATAATGGAATATAATCAGAAAACTGAATCACTATGATGTACACTTGAAGCTAACACAATATTGTAAATCAACTATAATTCAATAAAAAATTATTGATCTAAATATTTTTAAAAGTTTAAAAAAAATTTTTTAAGTTTAAAAAAATTGTTTACAGGTTGATTGAGTAGGCAACAAGAGATCATTCATGAGAACCCTATAAATCAATCTTGTAAATCCTGTTTAAGAAAAAAAAATCCACAATAGCTTGTTTGAAATTTTGCTATTGATTTCCCAAACAAAAGAAATAAGTATTGAACTTGAGAGATATATTTCAACGTTTAAACTTTATTTATGGACTTGCTTTTTTATCTCAAAAAACAAACAACAGGGCTTCCCTGGTGGCGCAGTGGTTAAGAATCTGCCTGCCAATGCAGAGGACCTGGGTTCAAGCCCTGGCCTGGGAAGATCCCACATGCCACAGAGCACCTAAGCCTGTGCACCACAACTACTGAGCCTGTGCTCTAGAGCCCATGAGCCACAACTACTGAGCCTGCGTGCCACAACTACTGAAGCCCTTGTGCCTAGAGCCTGTGCTCTGCAACAAGAGAAGCCACCACAATGAGAAGCCCATGCACTGCAACAAAGAGCAGCCCCCACTCGCCGCAACTAGAGAAAGCCCGTGTGCAGCAACAAAGACCGAATGCAGCCAAAACCAAATAAAAAATAAAACAAAAAACAAAATTCATCCAGGTAAGTGATCCAAGTCCCATGTGGTATGAAATACCTTTCTCATATGGAATAGATGGTAGAAGAAGGTTCTCCATCTCAACACAGCATGTGCAGATGAAGGGTGCCACAATGGCAGGGAGGCTGTGTGCTGTGCTGGGGACTGAATCCCACCGCAAACTGTGAGGCCTCAGGCCAGACACACCTCTCAAATCATCAACCTGATGGGTTGGTTTCAAAGCCTCATTTTCTTTTTGTAAGTTTTAGTTTCAGTTATTTTTAAAAATAGACTATTTTTTTAATAACAGTTAAAGAAAACTGAGCAGATAGTACACAGTTCCCATACATCCATCTCACAGCATAGTTTCACCTTTGTTCACTTGCATGTGTGTTAGTATTATATAATGTTTGCAGGTTTCTCTGTAGGATAAATGCCTAGATGTGGGACTGCTACGTCAAAGGGTAAATGTATTTGTAGTTTCGTGGATAATGCCAAATTGCCTTTCAGAGGATTGTACCACTGTGAACTCCCACCAGCTATGTGTGAGAACTGGAGCCCCTTTCAACTCTAGCAGTTTTTATTCTGTCTTCTTCCCAGGACGCAGGCCCAAAGGCTAACTTTGTGGGGAGCTTTTCTAAGATATGGGCTCCGAAACTGGCCACAGCCAGCTGTGCCACATGCAGGAGAGCTCACATTAGACAGAAACAGCTTTCAGGCAGAACTTCCCGGCTCAAATGACAAAATTTGAATAAGGTGTGAAGGTGAGTTAATAGTATCCTAGCAGGCTTCCCTGGTGGTGCAGTGGTTGAGAATCTGCCTGCTAATGCAGGGGACACGGGTTCGAGCCCTGGTCTGGGAAGATCCCACATGCCGCGGAGCAACGAGGCCCGTGAGCCACAACTACTGAGCCTGCGCGTCTGGAGCCTGTGCTCCGCAACAAGAAAGGCCGCGATAGTGAGAGGCCCGCGCACCGCGATGAAGAGTGGCCCCCACTTGCCACAACTAGAGAAAGCCCTCGCACAGAAACGAAGACCCAACACAGCAAAAATTAATTAATAAACTCCTACCCCCAACATCTAAAAAACAAAAAGGTTTAAAAAAAATAGTATCCTAGCAGTGTTAATTTCCTGGTTATGTAAGATGTTAACATTTGGGGAAGCTGAGTGAAGAGTATTTGGAAATTCTTTGAACTATTTCTGCAGCTTTTTCGTAAGTCTGAAATGATTTTAAAATTGAGAGCTTAAAACTTTAAAAGGTATTTTGAAAAAGAGGGAAAAAATGCGTGTGTGCCTCCTGGAACTGTCAAAATGTACAAATAAGCTGAGACTAGAAACAGTTGTGGAGTAAGCACAGCATTCATAAAAGTCAGGGATTGAATTAAGGGCGGTCCTTCTCATAAGGGATGGATGGAGCCCTTCACCAGGTTGGGGAGACAGGAATGCTCAGTTTGGCCCCTGACCTCACCACCTGATGAGCTGCTTATCCACCCTGTGCCCAGAGTCCTCTCTGAAAAGACATCCCTTGCACCACAGAGGGCTGCTGTGAGGCTCCAGTGAGATGCAGGAGATGAAAGTAAACTGAGAGCTGCAAATGACGATACCTCTGGGAAGGGATTACCTGCAAAACCTGAGACAGGCCTCCATGAAAAAGATCACAAACACTTGCCTGCTGGTCCTAATATGGGTTTCAGTGGAAGCAGCTGGAAGTCTGTTTACAGTAATTGCTTTTTAAGCCCTTAAACGGTGGTCCTCCTCTGTTCAGTGGCCCCCACTCAGGTTCCATGCTCCTGAATGTCCAGTCCCTCCAGTTACATGGCTGTGCACCTCCTTGGGGCGCTAGAGTCATCGTTTGCTTTCTTCCTGATGCTTTCTGCCAAAGACAAGAATCCTGTTGCCTCTTGTTGCCTGAGCGCTGCCTCACAAGGCTAGTTTGATGTTTTAATTGCCTGCAAGAGTTTATGTTAAAAGAAGATGCAGAGTAGTATTTAAGAACATGCTGGAAGAAGAACCAAGTCATCCCTAATTCCTCCCCTCTGAAGTGACTGTTTTCTCACCTTGTGTGTGGCAGCTGGGGGAGATCGACCACACAGGGGACTTTCCTCTTGCTCCTTGATAACGTGCTATTGACGCTTTTCCTTGTTGCCAAGTGACTGATGTACCTTCATTACTATGGATGGCTGCCTAGTACCCCATCCTGTGGTTGCCCTGTAATGCACCATGGCAATGGAGGTTACAGAGTTTAAGCCTTTTTCATCATGAGCCAATTTTGTTTTTAATGAGGGATCATTACTAGAACCTGTTACTCCGCTTACCTGATGGTTCTACATGGTGCCCTGAATCGCAAATCCCAAAAAACGCTTTTGGGATTGACAGACTCAAATAGGTTGTGACGGCCTCAGAAATTTTATTTGACCAGATGTTACTGGTTCAACTCATCTTAAGCCAGTTTTGGCCCATAGGTCTTAATGTTTGTGAAAAACAAGCCTGCAGGCTGTTCCCACCCTACTCCAAACTGGAGAAAAAAACAAATCAATGTAGTATAGAGAGCTGGATAGGAAGAGATTGTAGCTTCAGTGGCGTTGGGGCTGTGAAGGTGATAGGGATCGTCTGGGTCACCCTCACGGCACAGATGGGGAGACTGGGGCCAGGAGGTACTGTGAGTTGCCCAAGGCTCCGTCTGGGTTCCAGGAGGAGGCAGGGCTAGGACCATCAATCTGAAAGGTTCAGAGCCAGCGCCACAGCGCCGTGGTCTGAGCAGCCTTGGAGGGCCCTGCTGCATTCCAGCGGGGCCATGCAACTCTGACTCGCACCCGGGGCTGCCCTGAACAGCAGGCGGGCGGGGGGACACTTACCAGCCAGGTCCCTCCTGCCAATGGCGACGAGGCCTTTGAAGAGCACTCTGCTGGGGTTCTCACTGGCTGTGACCGGTGCCCGTGCTCCCGGTAGCTCTCGGTGCCTGAGTATCACGAGGGGAGAAAGAGAGAGAGAGAAGGCGTCAACCCCGCCTGCCTTACCAGAGCCAGGCCTGAGCACACCCCTTACCGCCACCAGAACATCAGACCCTCCTCTAAGCGCTCACAGAACTCAGCCCATATATGGGGAGGGCATGGGAGGAAGGGGAGGAGCAGCCTCAGATGGGATGGGGGTGGAGTTTCGTGTCAGGGACACCTGGATCTCCCCAGTGCCAGGCTTTCCCCTGAGCATCCACCATCTATCCTATTGGTGTCACTGGGAAGAGAGAAAGAATTGGCATTCACTGTGGTACCACGATGCACACACGACTGTACAGTTCATCTCTCTGGCGGCTCACAATAACCTGTGACTTGCAAGCTAGCGGCCCTGTTCTTTCCCCCGAACCAGTGGTTCTCAGCCATAAGTGCTCACTGGAGACACCTGGGAGGCTTTAGCAAACACTGACACCTGGGTCCCCCTCCCCGTTCTGAGATTCCTAGTACTTGAGTCTGGGTGTGGCCTAGGCAACAGATCAGTGTTAAGCCTTCCCAGGTGATTACAATGTTTGGAAAATAAGTGCCCATGCTCTTCAGTGCTGGTGGTGGGGTTAGCTTGTTATTCAACTGTGACCAGGTCAGCTCTCCCAGCTAGGGACAGATGGGCTGGCTCAGCCATGGGGGCACAGCCATCAGGTCCAAGTCAGTCAGCCACTGCGTCCCTGATGTTCTGGTGTCCGTGGGCCCCCAGCAGGCACTTCCTCCTGGTGCTGCTCGTGATGTAGCAGTTTCATTTGACCCGTTTATTCACTACCCCTTGTCCCCAGCCCTGTAATTTACCAGTGCTCCTTTATCGTCTATGAAATCCGCATGGGTAATAGAGTTCACTTGTGGACTCCCCACTCTATTCCACTACCTGATTTGCCTATGTTTCTGTCAGGTATCTCTCTGTGTTAAATATTCTAGCTTTCTAACATTGAGTCTGGTTGAGTTAGACCCTCTTCGCTTTTTTCCTCCAGAATATTCATTTATATATTCCCTGTTTCTTCTTTCAGACGAACTGTAGAATCCTTTAGTCAAGTTTCAAAAACCTCCTATTTTGATTTGATTAAAATTGGATCAAAGCTTTAATACGGGGAAAATCAATATCTACATGACACTTCTTTTAGCTGGAAATACAGAATGTCATTCTACTTACCCAAGTCTTCTTTTATAGTTCAAATAATTTGTATTGTCTTACTCATATGTCATTCATATTTCTTCTTAGAAACACACACTATTGTAAATGGAGTATATTTTTACATACATTTTTAATATATATTATATATTTTTAAACAAAATTTTTTAATATATTTAAAATATACATTTTTACATATATATACCTCTATATATTTTGCCCACTTATTGATGGTACAGAGGAATACTATGGTGTTCGTGTATTTAATCATGTTTAGCCATTTCATTGAATTATTTTATTCTAAGAGTTTTTCCGTTGATTCTTCTGGACTTCCTGTGTGTGTGTGTGTGTGTGTGTGTGTGTGTGTGTATCTCATCTGAAATTAATAAATCTCTCTCTTCCTTTCCAGTATTTACACTCAATTTCTATTTCTGTCTCATGCCTTAATACCAGGGCCCGAATTTTCAAATAGATGTTAAATAATAGTGGCAACAGCAGCTCCTCTCCTTTTTACAGGGAGCACCTTTAGTTTCATGTGTGAATGATGGGTTTCAGCTCAAGCTGATTCGTGAAGAATGTGAAGTTCACAGGTCAATGTGGAGGGAGGGGCAGAGGGCCCAGTCTGTGTAAAGGCCTGGAGAGGGGAAGAGCACGTGATGTGTTGGAAGTGGCGTGTGGCTTGCTAAGGCTTTTCCCCCAGAAGCACAGAAAACTGAACACACCCCACGTGCCCCCACCCCTCCACCTGGTTGCTCTGGGGCACCAAGGCAAGGTGGTACCTGTCCACTGTTGCTCAATGGCGTGGACGTGGGCCTCGGTGAACTCCCAGCAATACGCCAGCTTCTTCCACTCGTGGGGCTGCAGGTACCTGGAGGCCAGTCACCACAGCACAGAGCGGAGCTGATGTGTTTCCTGCCGATGGTCCTGCTTAAAGGTCAAGCTCTTCCCAGAGGGGTCACAGAGGTCCCTGCATGAGAGCTGGTCCTGTGGGGCAGATCCCAGAAGTGCAGCAGCTGTCTGGGGGAAATCCCTGCCAGGCTGTCCCTCGTGAGCCTGGACACAGAACTGATGTCATCACAGGCCTGAGGCATAGTGTCCATTACTCTGGTTTCTGACTCTGTGCCTTGCTTTGAGTGTTGGAAACTGAGTTGCTTACACTGTTTCTTCATCCAGAATTCCTTTTCTCACCTCCCTGTCTCTCAATCCCATTGCCACAGTCAAAAGACCACCTGGGTGCCACCTCTTCCAGGAAGCCTTCCCATTTCTCTCTTTTCTTTGTGTTCATATAGCACGAGTGTCAGTAGAATGACTCAGCAGCTGTGGCTAAAACCAGGCAAGCCAAGAATCAGGCACGAACTAAACTTGCCAAATGACAACAAGTAGAGAAGGTCTGGATTACAGAATTCTTTCTATGCAAAGCAGGTGATAAAATGAGAGGTTACCAAAAATTATGTAATAACTTAAGTTAAACCCACAGAAGTATTACTCAGCCATAAAAAGAAACGAAATTGAGCTATTTGTAATGAGGTGGATGGACCTAGAGTCTTGTCATACAGAGTGAGGTAAGTCAGAAAGAGAAAGACAAATACCATATGCTGACACATATATATGGAATTTAAGAAAAAAAAATGTCATGAAGAACCTAGGGGTAAAACAGGAATAAAGACACAGACCTACTAGAGAATGGACTTGAGGATATGGGGGGGGGAAGGGTAAGCTGTGACAAAGGGAAAGAGTGGCATGGACATATATACACTACCAAACGTAAGGTAGATAGCTAGTGGGAAGCAGCCACATAGCACAGGGAGATCAGCTCGGTGCTTTGTGACCACCTAGAGGGGTGGGATAGGGAGGGTGTGAGGGAGGGAGACGCAAGAGGGAAGAGAGGTGGGAACATATGTGTATGTATAACTGATTCACTTTGTTATAAAGCAGAAACTAGCACACCATTGTAAAGCAGTTATAATCCAATAAAGATGTTAAAAAAAAAAACCTGCTTTAAAAAAAAAAAAAAAAAAAAAAAAAATCAAAAAATAAAAAAAAAAAAGCCACAAAAGCCCCTCGAAAGGATGTGGATGCAGATTTCTAGTTGTTAAAAAGCTCAGGTGACCACTGCAAAGTAAAGCAACTGTTACAGTGGAGGATTACTGGACGGAATGTCAATATTATGACATAGTATGAGTGTGTTTCGTGTTTATTAATTGCAATCATTTTTGCTTTTGTTGTGGTCATCCATTTACAATGCTTGGTGTCAGTTTATTTATCTCTTGTAAAAATAAAATACAGTGTGTGTGTGTGAAAAAAAAAAAGGTCAGGTGAGTTCTAGCATCTGCAGCTCTGAATCTTACATCCTGGTTAACTGTGTCTGGCCAGTCACCTGGGAGGTGACGACCTGGGAGCTTGGCTCTCTCCTTGGGTGGTAAAAACTGTTTCTTTCGAGCTGTGTTCTCAACTGCATCTTACATTGGGATCATCTGGGAGCTTTAAGAACCACAGAAGCTTGGCCCTTATCCCTTAGATTCTGATTGAATTGGTCTAGGGGTAGGAAGGAGGGATTTGTGATTCTAACTGCACCACTGCCTTAGTGTTGAAAACTTTTAAAGCCTGAGGTGGTTTAAAATTAAGCATAGAGATGAATCAGTTCATCAAACCGTTGGTATTAATATTTAGGAGTAATCTGTTGTATGTAAAGGGGTTGTAATATTTACGAGAATCCAGCACGTCAGTGAAAGAGAAAATCTTATGATTCCTATGGAAATTTATCAATTGATTGATTTCTGGACAGTGATTTTTTTGAGAAGTGTTAAGAGAAATTTACTAAATTTGTAAACAATATCAGAATGTTTATGATATTCGAGATTCACTTTATAGGTTTAATTTATTGGATTTAATGGGATAATTTAAGAATTTAGGAAGCATTTGAAGTGCTTGAAAAGAAAACCTATTATATTAAATTTATTCTTTCAGTTTAAAACCTTTAAGGTAGTTTAACTAAGCTTAAACATGGGACCAAACTTTAATCAAAAGGCTTCCTTGAAAGTGACTGTTTAAAATTTACTAGTTGTATAAATATAATAATAAGATTGTAAAAATAAATTTAAAAGTTTGAGGAAAAGTAGGATTTAAATTTTGTAAACAATTTAGTATTAATTTCTAAAACTGAAATAAATGCAAAAATTTATTTTCTGTGTATAAAAGCAACCATTAAGGACAACAAAAAATCTCTCAACCCACCCCCATTTGCTGACATGGAGCTGTAAATGCAGGACCTTACAACTGCCACTCCTCTTTCCCAAATCCACAGCAGATATCACTAATCAATCGCAGCACACTTTCCTTCTGGGCTCAGAAAGTTGCCTGAATAGAACACCTCAAGCCACAATTCCAATCACCTGGAGCTGACAGTGAGCTGGAAACAATTTGCCATTTCTTTATTCATGCATGAATGCATTCATCCATCAACCAGGAGCTGCAGCAGGGTCTACTAGTATCTCCACACTGGCACGGACCTCAGTCAGCCTTATTTCACTGTGGTTTGGGTGTTCACCCATCTCTGGATGCCCTCAAAGAACCCTAGTGTTAGGTAAGGCAGGGATTATCACTCGCTTGGAAACTGAGGGGCCCCTGAATTGGTCAGGGCTGGGGTTCAAAACCAACTCCACCTGAAGCCATGGCCACTCCCTTTCCAACATGGAGAGACCAAGCACCGGGTCTCAGTACCTTCTCCCATCTGTAGAAGCAATCGGCTTTTATGATTTCCACCAGGCTGACATGGTTGATGTGGGTGGCCACTGGCAAGGTGGTTTTTCCTTGCTGCGGGTAAGAAGGGAGAAGGGAATCCAGAGTTCCTATAAGAGGGTATAGGGTGGCCTCTAGCACTGACTACAGACCCTCCTACCCAAAGAAAGTGGTTTCCAGCAGTCTACACTGGAGAGCAGAAGGGTTTTCTGGCAGTAATTCTGGGTGTGGAAAAGTCACAGGTAGAATAAGGCAATAATTCCAGCAACCACCTCTTGTGTTCTTCTAGAATAGGAGGACTTAAAGCTTATAAAACTCAGCCTGCATAAGTCTTCAAGGTCACCTGTGAGATAGATGTTACCAGCCTCATGTCTCAGATGAAACCAGAACCCAGAGAAGGGGCTTGGACTCCTGTGTCAAGTTTGCTGCCTCCCCTCAGGTTTCCAGCCCTTTGCTCCAGGCCTCTGGCAGAGTGCTGGCCTCCACCACCTCCAGGGACCTGCGGGGAGATGGGAAGCTCCTCTTCAAGCTTGGCCAGCTGCCCCGGGCCCCAGCTTCTCTCCCAGGAAGCCGGAAGCCCTTCCCAGGTCCAGCCTCAGGGCCTGTTCCCTGCCCCCATCTCTTTCCCACACCATCCCAAGGGCTGGGCCACGTGTGCAAGGGCCCTTCCCCTCATGAGCCTGTGACCTCTTCAGCCTCATACTAAGCCTTCAGCTCTTCTCAAACTTCTGGCCACCTGAGGAGGTGGCCACCCCAGAAGCACCGTGACCCAGGAAGCTTCCCCCAACCCTGTTTCACACGTACGGAGTTGTGGGGTGGTGACATGCTATTCCTCTAGCTCTCTTCCCCTCTCCCCAGCAGATGACTCAAGGAGCTCAAAGTCTGATGTGGGCCATGAAACAGAAGACAAACATATCACAGGCAAGGACCAGGAGAGGGGTGGGCCAAGTGCTGAGGGACCTCAGAGGACACAGGGGAAGGTGATGGAGGGGCAGGAAGGCTTCCTGGAGGAGGTTGCCTTTGAGCTGATATATAACAGATGGGAAGCCTTGAACATTCTGGGAGCAGGAGGCATTTGCATCAGGATCTCTGGCAAAGAGGGAGTCATGAAAGCTTGCAAGGGAGGCTGGTTGTGAGCAGAGGTACCTTATCTCTCAGGTTTAAGTTAACCCCAGCAATGAGGAGAATACCCACTATGTCCTGCCAGGCGTGCTCGGCGGCAAGGTGAGGGGTGTCTACTGCCTCTGGAAAAGAAGCCAAGAGGACGGAGAGCAGAAAAGCATGTAGAGATGGTCTGTGGCTCAAAGCCAGGACAGGACCAAGGTGGGTACACGCCCAACTGGGCCTTAACAGAGTTTCTCTAAGAAGTTATGTGGGGCTTCCCCGGTGGCGCACTGGTTAAGAATCCACCTGCCAATGTAGGAGACACAGACAGGTTTGAGCCCTGGTCCAGGAAGATCCCACATGCTGCAGAGCAACTAAGCCCATGTGCCACAACTACTGAGCCTGTGCTCTAGAGCCCATGAGCCGCAACTACTGAAGCCCAGGTGCCTAGAGCCCATGCTCCCAACAAGAGAAGCCACCGCAATGAGAAGCCTGCGCACCACAACGAAGAGTAGCCCCCGCTTGGCACAACCAGAGAAAAGCCCACATGCAGCAACGAAGACCCAACGCAGTCAAAAATAAAAATAATAAAATAAATTTATATAAAAAAAAGAAGTTATGTGGGAGGGTAAACTGGATTTAATCATAAACATAATACTCAGCAAACTCAGTAAATAACAAAAAAGTAGAAAGAACAAAGAAAAAATACCACTCGCTATCCCACCTAAGTCAACCTTTGTTAACAGTCTTAGTACATTTCTTCTAGTATTTTCTTTAAGGCAGAATGTTTTTAGTTTTATGGTTTTACATATTTGAGATCATCCTGTATATACATTTTGCATCTGTATAACTTCCTGCATATTATAAACTCTATAAACACCATTTTTATATAACTCCATAAGAGCCTATCTATGCCTATACCATAATTTAACCGAGCACTTCTCTCTTATTAAGTATTTGGGGCCCTTTTTGAAATGAAAACTGATAGACTGCTACAACAAATATCTTGGTACATGAGCTCTTAATATATTTCTTGAGGCTCAATTCTCAGACATGCAAATACTGACCATTTCAAAGGTATATGTTATATTCTGTCAAATTGCTTTCCACCACTAGTGGTTGTGTGTGGCGGCCCTGAGGATTGTATGGTTGGGGGGTGGATTGTGGGGATGGGGATTTTAAAACGCTCCTGATTGATCACAACTTCAGGACTCAGAGGCCTCTTGTTATACAAGATTAACCCAGTCACCCCTGCCCTGGGAATTTTCCCTAAGGGGAAAAAAAAAAAAAAATCAATGAAAGGAAAAGGTTGCATGTAGCAAAATGTTTACCACAGTGTTCTATACATCATGACAGAAACTTGGAAATACTCAAATGTTCAAAATAGAGGAATGGTTGATAAAATAATGCTACCTTCAACAAATATTCAAACAACTTTTGACAAGCTGAAAGAGTGATTCCTCAATTCTGGGCCAGGCTAGTAGACCACAGTTAAGCCCTGCTAACCTGGGAGGGTGCCCAGAGGCTCCATGGGGCCCAGATGGTTTCTGCAGCCACTTACATTGTCAACGGCGTCCAGGTCACTGCCGGTGTCGATAAGGAGCTGCACCAGGACGGGGAAGTTGTGCTTCACGGTGATGTGCACAGGAGAGGCGCCTGCTGGGGGCGGTGGAGAGGCACAGATCAGTTGATGGGTCCCTCCCAGGACTGCCCAGCTGCAGGCTGGTGCTAGAAGATGGGAGTTGGGAGGAGTACAGTTAAGTTCCCTACGTACGAACCTTCAAGTTGCGAACTTTCAAAGATGCGAGCATGCGTGCGCGTGTCCGATCACATAAATTAATTCACATGTCTGGCGTACATTGTCACATGCGTGCATCCTCTACTAGTCGTGCTTTTGTGTACTTTACTGTACAGTACTGTTGCTGTGCAACACGAGGAGCTTACTGATGAAGACCTGATGGAACTGGAGGCTCAGAGAAAGGACAAAGAGACACAAGAGGAAGAAGAGGTAACTGAAGAAACGAAGTGATTCACGACGCAGGAAATGGCAAGGGGATTTTCTTCATTTGAGGAGGCACTGTCAGTTGTTTTTTTTTTTTTCATTTGACAACTTGTTTCTTTTTTTTTTTTTTTTTTCGGTACGCGGGCCTCTCACTGTTGTGGCCTCTCCCGTTGCGGAGCACAGGCTCCGGACGTGCAGGCTCAGCGGCCATGGCTCACAGGCCCAGCCGCTCCACGGCATGTGGGATCTTCCCAGCCGGGGCACGAACCCGCGTCCCCTGTATCGGCAGGCGGACTCTCAACCACTGCGCCACCAGGGAAGCCCCACAGTTAGTTTTTGAGGCACAGGACCCGAACACAGAAAGGTACACGAAAGTTGCAGCAGCCGTTCAGAATGCAACCCAGTACTGCTATGTCATCTATGATGAGAAAAAAAGAGCTACTACCCAGACATCACTGAATCATTTTTTAAAGAGGGTAGATAGAATTGAATCCAGCAAGGAACCAGAACCTCTGCCGTCAAAGTCAGGCATGAGTGAAATTGCAGCTTGCCCTCCGTCTCTTATTGCTGACGATCCTTCAGCTCTACCATCTCCCACCTCCTCTCCCCCCTCCAGTCAGTGACTCTTCTTGCCTGTCCACTCAGTGCCAGCCCCTGTATGCCAGCTGTTGTACTGTACTACTGTACTTTTCAAGGTACTGTACTGTAAGATTTAAAATGTTTTATTTTGTGTGTTTGTTTTTTATGTATTATTTGTGTGAAAAGTATTATAAACATATTACAGTACAGTACTATATAGCCAATTGTGTTAGTTGGGTATCTAGGCAAACTTTGTTGGACTTATGAACAAACTGGACTTACAAATGTGCTCTCGGAACGGAACTGGTTCATGTGTAGGGGACTTACTGTATAGATAGTGCTTCTGAGTTTGGACCTTCTCACTTCTCGGATGACATGAGTGGCCTGAGGAATTTACAGCCCACAGCCTGAATCCCTTGGGCCACAATCGATCCTCATGGTGGGCAGGAGCCTGAAATCCCAAGTTTGAGAGCTTGCCAGGCCAGGAACTCACTACGTGACTTTGGGCAAGTCATCTTCATCTGGCAAGTGATGCTTGCTGAGGTCCCTTCTAGCAACAGCACCTTAAGATTCTCTGCTATCTCATTTACTCCACACATGAACCTAGCAAGTATATAGGAATGGTGTTCTTATTCGTACTTCCACCTTACAAATGAGAACACTTAATAAGTTCATAAAACTTACATGACACACCCAAGGACACGTAACTAATAGAGACCCTGTGTTACTGGACTTTCTACCCCCGGCATCTAGGTAGGTGCTCAACCACTATTTATGTATGAAATGAATGAATGAGAGAGCCAGCCGGGACCAGAATAGAGGTCTCACCGAAACCCAACGTTCACCCAAGGCCTCACTCAAGGCTGGAGGACTCCATCTCCAGTGGTTCCCTGTGAGCACTGACTACATGACTAAGTGGAGATACCGCCACAGCAACCTTCTGTCTAGGTGTGTGGTGATACACATCTAGTAGAACAGTACAAAGCCAGAAAAATCAATAGGATAGATCTATACTTACTGTGGAAAAACACCCTCACATGTTGAGTACCAAAAGGTGACAGAACAGAACACGCACACATACAACAAAAATGCCCATGACTGCCATTACTAGTTTAGGCCAGAAAAAAACAGTTTATGGATATTGGAAAAGAAGATTTAAACTATACGATTACTTGTAGGCAACGTGACTGTATATCTACACAGGTCAAAATAGTTATTATACCCCCACCAAAAAAAAAAAAAAAACCTCTAGCAAAATCAATGAAAATCATATAGAAGATAAAAATACCAAAGTCAGTAGCATTCCTGTATTGAATGCCCACAAGAAATGACATATTTTAAAAAGATAGTCTATTTGCAATGACGGTCAAAATATATAAAGTACCTATGAAGAGTATAATTGGAAATGGCTATTACAAAGGCAAACAAAAACCATAGAACATCACTGAGGGATTCAAAAGAAGACATAAAGAAATGGCAAGACATGTTTGTAGTGAAAAAATAAAATATTACAAAGATGACCATTTTCTCTTATATTATTTACAGGCTTCATGTAATCCCAAACCCAAATAGCAATAAATGACAAAAAGTATTCTGAAACACATCTAGAAAAAAATTTAAAAACCTAGGTAAAACTACCACAGAATTTCAGCAGTGTCCTCAGATCATTGCTAGATAACTGTGAAATCAAAATCAGGCCAAAAGAAGGTCTCCTGTGAGAGTGAATGGGCAGACACTGGAAACTGGCTCAAGTGCACAACGCAGATGAGCTAGGAAACTTATCAGAGCTCTAATGGTGGCTCTCCAGGAAGCAGCAGGCCACGGAGATAAAATAACCAAGGAGGCTGGATATGGCCTCCATCGTCCTGGAAATAGATCTGTGGGAATGTGGTAGGAAAGGGGAGTGGAAAGAGAGCAAGTACTGCTTTTCATTGGTTTACAATTTTATTTATAGAAACCTAAAGAACCAGAAAGAACAAAAGGTATCTGGTGAAAAGCCTTCTTCCCACCCTCAACACCCGTCTGCTCTGTTCTCCCCACTCCAATGGTAACATCTTACAAAGCCACAGTACAATATCCCAACCAGAACACTGACATTGATAATACCCACCATCTTACTCAGATGTCCCCAGTTTCACTTGTAGTCATTTGTATACATGTGTGTTCTATGTAATTTTATCACACGTGTAGGTTCGTGTATCCCTTACATAGTCAAGATGCAGCACAGTTCCATCACCATAAGGGTCCCTTGTGTAGTCCTTTTATAACCACACCCTCCTCCCTTCTCTGCCCCACGCCCCCATCCCTAGCCCCCCACCACCACTAATCTGTTCTCCATTTCTCTGTTGAGAAGTGAGGTCCTGGGAGACTCGGCAGTGTATCCCCTGCCTCCCCACCTTCCATCCAGGCCCCACACGTACGTGATCAGCCACATTAGTGCTTCCTCCTGCATGGACGAGGGCCCAGGCCATGTCCTCAGAGCCACTGAGGGCTGCGTAGTGGAAGCAGCTCTGCTTTTTCTAGAGGGAAACAGGCATCAATGCAGCATCCTAAGGACCCCTCACAGCAGGGTTTACAAAGCACTTTGAGATTCATTATCCCATTCACAGCTTACAACCCCCATGGGACTATTATCCCCATTAAACCCTGAGGCAGGAGAAATCAATGACTTGCCCAGGCCTGGTGACTAGTAAAAGGAGTTCACTATGGTCTCAGGATTTTCCTCACCTCCAGTCACAGACTCCGGAACAAAGGCCAAAGCCTTCACAGTTCCTTAGCCAGTAAAGACACATGGAGTATAGATGCTGAGGAGATGGTTTTCAAGGAGGGGGACCAATAAGATTTACCTGTACAGGGCAAATCCCACCCAGCATGTACTGTCCAGCTGGAGCTGGTCTAAGCACATCCACAGAGGAGCCTGGCAGGGCCAGAGGGAGGGCTTCCTCCTGGATGAGACTTCATCTCAGGCAGGACCCACTAGGTAACCAACTGTCCCAGATTGCCTGGGGCTGAAGGTTCCCTGGATGCGAGACTTTCTGTTTTAAAATCAGGACAGTATGGGCAGACCAGGATGAGTTGGTCACCCTCCCAAAGTCGAGTCTGAGCAAGTTTACAGGGTGGGTGGGAATCCATCCACCTCCCCGTGGGAAATGCAATCACTTTGGGTTTGCCCCCTCCTCAGAGACCCTGCTGCACAACACTGCCAGAGGTGGGAGTGTCAGAATAGACCGTGGCCTCTGCCAGAAACCTCAAGTCAAGGCTGGAGCACGAGAGCCGGTGAGGTGGGCAGCTCCAAGCCACCAACGACCACCAGCTGGATCTAACCCCCTGAGTCTCTAAGCTCCTGTGCTGTTACTGCTGGGGAGGTGGCCATGGCATGACCTGTCTGTGCCCCCTCCCAGTGCCTAGTGCTGGGCACAGAGAAAGGGCCTTTCTGACTAAGGAGCAACACCTTGCTGATGGAAGTGAAACAGGAGTGAAGGGGGCAGGGCACAACCTTTAAAAGAATGACATATGGGCTTCCCTGGTGGCGCAGTGGTTGAGAGTCCGCCTGCCGATGCAGGGGACACGGGTTCGTGCCCTGGTCCGGGAAGATCCCACATGCCGCGGAGTGGCTGGGCCCGTGAGCCATGGCCGCTGAGCCTGCGCGTCCGGAGCCTGTGCTCCGCAACGGGAGAGGCCACAACAGTGAGAGGCCCGCGTACAGAAAAAAAAAAAAAAAAAAAAAGAATGACATAGCCACAGTACATGATGAAAACTAATGAAAACCAACTAGGTCCAAGATGGCAGAAGATTCGACCTCCAGTAGACCTTGAGCCTCATTATATGCTCACTGTAATACCTTAGCATGCTAAATGACACACCCACCAGCGCCATGACAGTTCTGAGGCTAACCGTAAAAGGCCCAAAAGTGGGCAGTGGCCCAATTTCTGGAAATCCCCGCCCCTTCCTCAAAATAGATGGAATAATCCTCCCACTCATTAGCCTATGAAATTACCCAGTCCATAAAAATTAACCACGCCATATTTCAGGGCCTCTTGCCTCTTGCCTTCCGAGATAGTCCACACTCTGTCTGTGGAGTGTGTTTCTCTCTAAATAAATCTGATTCTTACCTATCACTTCGTCTCCAAATTCTTTTCCAATGAAGAAAGAACCTTAAATTCACCAGCAACAGAAGGACACGGCTGGTGCCCTGGAACAGCTACTTTCCCCCTCTTGGCTGTAATGTCCCCCGCTATGTCCCTGGGGTAGTAGTCTCCAGAGCTTCCAGGGGAGCAAATTAAATGTTTTGTGGTTTATAAAGCATTATTCACATTTAAGGGAATTTACGATTTATATTATTATTATATTTACATTTGCCATTTTGCTTTTTCTTTTCTTTTCTTTTTTTTTCCGGCTGAGCTGCGCAGCTTGTCAATCTTAGTTCCCGACTCGGCAGTGAAAGTGCAAAGTCCTAACCACTGACACCACCAGGGAATTCCCTTTGCTATTTTTTTTCTGAATGTCTCTTGTTTTTTTTTGTTCTGTTTCCCCTTGACTGCCTTTTTTTTTTTTTTTTATTTTATTGAAGAATAGTTGATTTACAATGTTATGTTTATTTTCTCCCGTTGCGGAGCACAGGCTCCGGACGCGCAGGCTCAGTGGCCATGGCTCACGGGCACAGCAGCTCCACAGCATGTGGGATCTTCCCGGACCGGGGCACGAACCCGTGCCCCCTGCATCGGCAGGCGGACTCCCAACCACTGGGCCACCAGGGAAGCCCTGCCTTCTTTTGTGTTAAATATTTTTAGCATATCATTTTCATTCCTCTGTTTTTAAACTATTTTTGCTATTATTTATATTATTCACTATTAATATTATTTTTGCTACATTATTGAAATTTAGAAAAAGAGAATTCCAGACTCTGCAGCTGTTCAACCAGCCAAGAAAGAGTATTTGTCACTGATCTAAAAATAAAAAGCAAAACAAAACAAAAACACCAACCTCCTACCTAAAGAAAGGCCACAACCCCCTTTTCAAGGACACAGAGAATTTCTAATGGCCAACTCATAGAGTGCAATGGTAAGGGAGAAAGAGGCCTGTCCCAGAGTCACACCCAGGCTCCAGCTCTAATTGCGGTGTGGGCCTCATGTTGCGGACACCCCACCCCTACCCCAGCTGGGCAAGGCAAACGTTTCAGGCCATAAACTCTGGAGTCAGGGGAATAGGCTTTTCAGACTCAGCTTTGCTTCTTACCAACTTGTGACCTGGGAAAGTCACTGAACCTCTCTCATCTGTAAAATGGGGGGAATTTTTCTGAGGTAATAGTTATGAAAGGGCTTTGTGAACTGTCACGTGCCCAGCAATAAGACACTAATGGGTACTGAGCTCCTGTTATGTCCCAGGCAATATGCTAGGTATTTAGCCTTCATAGCAATATAAAATAGTAAGTATATATCACCTCCAATTTATAGTTGAGAAACGAGGCTCGGAGAGATTAAGTAACTTGCCCAAAGTCACAGAGCTCAACAGCTGAGCCTGTTCCCTCACAGCCTTGTTCACACAGTGTTCAGGAATCATCGTGGCTCCTACAGTTGACAGTCACGTCTCTGCAGGCAGCCGAGGGCACACACCAGTCGTGAGGAGGCCCGGCTACCTGGGTGAGGGCGTTCGCGCTACTCCCGGCCCCGAGGAGGAGTTGCACACAGTCGGGGTGGATCCCTTCAGCAGCTGCGTGCAGGGCAGTCAGACCTTCCTGAAACACAGGGGAGCGGTGTGAGGCTGGCAGGAGGCTGAGGCCAGAGCCCAAGACCGGAGGACACCCCTACTGCCAGGGCTCCAGGGCTCTTTGAGCTCTCCCCTCCCTGCTACTGCAGACATGACCTGGTGATCTGTGGTTCCCTGAGCCCCGCCCCTGATTCTCACCTTGAGGGACATATGGTGCATTCACTCCCTCCGCCACAGCTCTGCTGGTGTTCTCCTTGCCCTCCAAGCCGCCTCATCCCCGCTCTGTCTATTCCCTCCTACTCCATCCTGGCCACAGTGACCTCTCCCTTCTTTGAACGCACACTGTGCGTATGACTGCTCCGTGATCCCTCAGGCCCGGTGCCCCTCCGAGCCTGGAGTTTTGTGCTCCTGCTCATCTTTTCCTCGTAGGCTGTTTGAGAACACGTCCTCGCTCCTGGCTTCAGAGCCCCTACCAGGGGAAACCAGGCTGCACCACGGGCTGCGGGCTCCTGGAAGGCAGGGGGCAAGCTAGTGTCACACATCTCTGCATCCTCCAGGTGGTGACTCACCGCATTCCTCTCCTCCAGGTCCAGCCTGACGTCCATGAGCCGCTGCAGCACGGCCAGGTGGCCCCAGCGGGCGGCCGGGTGAAGGGCTGTGTTCCCCTCCTGCAGGGAGAAGGGCTCCTGAGGGGTCAGTGGAATCATAGACCCTTGAAGGCCCTGGGGACGCGCTGGAGCTAAGATCCAGAGAGGGGAGACATGTCCGGGTTATAGAGCAAGTTGGTGACGAGCTGCAGCCCTGCACGCTGGGCCAATGCCACCCTGCTCTGAGAACTGTGCCAAAAACTACCAAAAACCAGGGGCACTTTCAAGGGGCAAGTTCTGGTCTCTTTTCGTACACTTTAAGACGGACATATTACTTAAAAAAAATTTTTTTTTAAATCCCTATTTTTCCATGCTCCAGTCTAAAGCCAGTCCCAACTCAGTGACCCCAGATGCATCCCCTCTCTCTGCTCAGGCTACAGCCCCAGAGACTCTCCTTGTGCTCAGGCTGTGCCCAGCAGCCACACAGCCCAATCGCTCGCCTCCTGCGCCTTTGCTCAAGATGTCAGCTTCTCATTGAATAGTGCAGCCCACCGTGACCACAATACTGAAAACCACAACTCCCACCTCCTGTTCTCCTGATCCCCTTACCCTGCTCCACTTTTCCTGTTCCCCCATAGCACTGACCACCTAACACCCTCTACAATCCACTTGTATACTATGCTTGTTTTTCATTGGTTGGAAATAAGCATCACAAGGGCAAGGATTTTTGTCCATTTTGTTCTCTGAAATTTCCCCAAGTGCCTAGAATAGGGCCTGGGCACGTGACAGACACTCAGTAGATATTTGTTCAATGATAATACATAATATGATGGAGAGCTTGACCTGTGTCTCCTGGAACTCGAGAACCAGAGGATTGGGAGCAGCCTCACCCTTGAGAAGTCTAAAGGTGGCAGTGACAGAGCCAAGAGAGGTGGCTCCACTGGGCGGGCAAAGGGCACAGTGTTCTTTGTGTTGGAAGTGGTCCCACAGAGGGCAGCCTATTTGGGATCGTCTTTAAAGGGAACTTGCTGCAGGAGGGTAAGGGGCCCCAGGGAAGAAGAGGCAGCTGGACATGGCCAGCCCGAGAAAAGGTATGTCCCTACAGAGGAACCACAGATGGGGGACCAGGACAAGGACCCTGGAGGGACCCACAAAAGCACCCAGAAGGGAGGACCCAGCTTCAGCCATGTATCATGCCCAGAAGGCCATGGGGACGATCGAGCTGAACCAGTGCTTTCCTCTGCCCTGGCCTGTCTCAGTACCTTCCCTGTGTGTTTAGGCACAGATATCTATAAAGGGCCCAATGAGGATGTGAACACATACAGAAGCCAAAGCAGTACTTAAAGTAGTTAAAAATATACCCCGCCCCCATGATAGATAAACACACACACATAAACAGCTATAACTATCTTACAGGGTCAAGGAGGAAACATCTACATTTCCTTTATGATCATCATTATATTATATTAATAAATAAAATTAAGTTTAAAAAATCCCCTCAACAGCTTTTTTCGGCTCTTCTCCCACCCGCTCCGTGGTCGGCTCGCCACAGCAGGCAAGGGTCAGGCTGTGGGCGGTGTAGCCACAGCCTGAAGTCTCTGTGTTCAAAGAGACCGGAAGGAAGTGTGTGAACATTGGGGTTTGGCACGTGCCCCCAGTTAGCAGAGCTGTGGAAACAGGGCAGGGCTTCCCTCTTCCTTCTGGATTATAAATATCTACCTCCTACCCTTTGAAGCTGCAGATGGCATGGACTCCCTGCCCAGGGTCCTCACACTCTGCCCAGGTAGGACACGGGGCTGGGTGGAAGGAGGCCTTGGCCTTGGGCCTGGCCTCTCCCCTCCACCCGTGGGGACATCCAGCCTCTCCACCTCTGTGGGGCCCTGTCAGCCTCTCCTTGACATTTCCGGAGGAATTAATCACTCACTCCGGGCTCTCAATGCCTCCCTACCACAGCACCTGCAGCGTGAGGTATGTTGTCATCTGTTCTGACAGGTCTGTCCCCCTACACGGGCTGGCGGGTCCTAGCACGAGTCAGGCCTTCAGTGGCCCAAAGCCTTGAAAAACGTGCTGTGCCCTCTCCCCAAATGAAATTCAAAATGAAAACATTCCTCATTGGAAAATACAACACTTAACAGGGACATGTAATTTTAAAAGCTTCTTCCTAGCATTTCTGATTGCAAGATTTTGGGTGAGTTCACCAAAGCTGAAATTTTCTTGCTTTCTAGTTTGGTGCTTCTGCTCTCTTGGGGCCCTGAGTACATCATTTTTTTTTTTTTTTTTTGCCTCCTGGGTAGATGTGTCCTGGTGAGGGTCATTCTTTACCCCTGTCCGTACTCCCAGTTCCTGGCTCAGGGCCTGGCACAGAGCACAACCTGCTCTGCCCATGTTTCTGAAATGAAGGAAATCAGCCTGATCTGAATCTCAGAACCTAACTTAGCCTTTTCATCCTGAAAGGCTGAGTGTGGGTGGACAGATTTGGTGCAGACCCCCAGGGCTCAGGGCCGCAGGAGGCAGCCTGATGAAGGAGGAGCACAGCGGGGCATCAGGATGCTGGCTCCAAACCCAGCTCGACCTTTGTCTTGCTGTGTGACCTTGGCTACAGTATCCCCTTCTCTGGGCCTGAGCTTCCACATCTGTAAAACGAGAAGGTTGAACTGGCCCTTGATCTAAGATCCTGTGATTCATTGGTCTGTGAGCTCTGTCACTAGCTTTGTAAACAGAACTCCTTGTATCCTAGCCAAGCATATTAATCAGAAAATTAACAGTGGAATTCTTCCCTTTGTTGGAAGCACTGTTTAGAATTTGCTGCAACACATTTGCCTAATGACTCGCAATGGTCCATTGATACAAGTCATTTGTAGGGTAGTCCCCTTGGGTCCCAACCCCTCATCTATTCTCAGATAGGTGAATTCCTGCTTATAAGCTCTCCACCCTGAATGAACTGCTCCCTCCTCAGCGGTCTCGTCCTACTTTTGCCATAATCATAGTAGATTACTAAAACACAAAGAAAGCAAATAACCAGCAGGCATGTGGCTACCGTCCCCCAACTCCTCCCCATTCCCCCCAGCAACAGACATCCCCAGTGGAATCACAGCCCCGCTCACACCCACTCCAGGCATCACTACCAACCAATCAGATTTGCCATCCTGGCTCCCCACATTGGCTCACAGCTCTTTCCTAGGATTGTGGTTGAATTCCTTGATTAAGAAACTGCGTCTTGGGCATCTTTGTCCTCTTCACACATAGCACACAGCTGGCCCATAGTGTGTGCTCAAAAAATGCCTGCTGCATGAGCATCAGACACACGCTGGTCTTTGGGCCACCAGCCCCTCTAGCACGCTGCAGTTGGCAGTAGACACAGGTGAGCTGCCCGTGACCACCCCGGTCAGGAGCCCAGAGCCCGGCCCTCCCCCTGGGACCCATGGTTACAGTACCTTGTCTTTGACACTGTGGTCACAGCCAGAGCCCACAAGGAAGTCCAGCTGCCCGTGCTCTGCAGCCCGATGAAATGCTGTCCTTCCCAGCTGGCGGGGGAGGAGAAGAAAGTGAATCTTCCTCGCCCTGCCCACCTGGCCTCAGTTTCCCAACCACACTGGGCTTGCAGGGCTCCAGACACTCTCCCCCACCTTGCCTTATACACCCTGCCTGGAAAGCCCAGACCATCTTCCCAACAAGACCCCACTTGGTGGGTCCCTCCCCCACTGAAATCCTCCTGTGGCTCCTGAATAAAGGACCCATTCCTGAGGCTGCGGGTTGAGATCTCCATGAAGGCCCCGAACAACCTCTCAGGCCTTCATTCCCAAGATTCTAACCCATCTGAACTCACACACCAAAACTCACACACCAAAACCCAAGATTCTAACCCATCTGAACTCACACACCCTTTTCCTCTAAAGCTCTAGCAATTGTCTCTCCTCCATCTGGAATGCCCCTTGCTTTCTAATCTTACTGATGAAATCTATTCATTTACCAAATTCCACCTCCTCCAGGAAGCAGAAAGCACTGTCTCCCTTCTCTAACCTGTCTAGTCCATATCAGAGTCTCTCTGAGGGAACTGACCATGTGCTGCTGGCGTCCTGCTCATTTGTGCCTAATGCCCCTTCTAGACCAGCAACTCCCTGAGGTGGGGTCCAGTCTGCACTACCCATGGCTCAAGGGATGCACTCAAGGAATGTACAGGAGAGGCCCCAGGAATCCCAAGCCCGATGGGAAGGACACACAGCCTTGAGGCCACACTCACCTTGTCAGCGTGGTCCAGGGCCACGTCCTCCAGGTCCTCTGTTATGAACGCCAGCACTGGCACATGGCCTTTTTGGGCTGCGCAGTGCAGTAAGGTCAGGCTGTCCTGGAAACAAGCCCAGGGTGGTCCCTGCAGTCTGCGAAGGGAGGCCTTGCTCACACACTGGCTGTCTCCCAGACAATGAGTGTTTGTGATCAGAACAGCTTTCCAAAGGAAACCACACTGAAAATGGGGATAGGCCCCTGGGACATCCACAGGACCCACTTAGCCTCACGGGGGCTGGTGGGACTCAGGATGCCAGAGTTCAAATTCCAGCTCCAGCATTTATCAGCTCTGGGGTCTTCGGCAAGTTACCTATACCTCTGTGAGCACCCATTTCCTCATAGGTCAAGTTAGGATAATACAGGCTTATTGTGCTTCGCTTTATTGAAGGTCTCTTAGCCCCAGAAGCAATATTTAAGTGAGGGAGGTTTGCAGATCCTATGTTTATAGTCCAGAGCTTCTACCCTGGCCTTGCATTACAGCTAGATTATTTGGAGTACTTTTCTAAATAGATTGTAACCATCAATGGGTCATAAAAATCAATGGAACAGTCTTCTACATCTTGACAGTGGTTTGGGTTACAGAGGAGTAGCACTTGTCAAATTTCAGTGTGTAGGGACTTCCCTGGTGGTGTAGTGGATAAGACTCCACACTCCCAATGCAGGGGGCCTAGATTCCATCCCTGGTCAGGGAGCTAGATCCCACATGCACGCCGCAACTAAGAGTTCACATGCCACAACTAAGGAGCTGGCAAGCTGCAGCTAAAATGAGGAGCCCTGGAGCCGCAACTAAGGAGCCCACAAGCTACAACTAAGACCTGGTGCAACCAAATAAAAAATAAATAAATAAATAAATATTTTTTTAAAGACTCAGCTTGGGCTTCCCTGGTGGCGCAGTGGTTGAGAGTCCGCCTGCCAATGCAGGGGACGTGGGTTCGTGCCCTGGTCCGGGAAGATCCCACATGCCGCAGAGCGGCTAGGCCCGTGAGCCATGGCTGCTGAGCCTGCGCGTCCGGACCCTGTGCTCCGCAACGGGAGAGGCCACAACAGTGAGACCACAAAAAAAACACAAAAAACAGTGTGTACCGCAAAAAAAAAAAAAAAAAAGGACTCAGCTTGTATTTCATTGTATACAAAGAATTTGAACTCTAGTTAATGATACGCATGCTGACATATTTAGAGGGAAATACATTGATGTCTGCATTTATTTTGAAATACATCCAAAATCTACAAAGAACTCTAAAAACTCATCAATAAGAAATTACCCCAATTAAAAAATAATCTGCACACCAAAGAAGATATATGGAATGACAAATAAGCACATGAAAAAATATATGACATCATTAGTCATTATTGAAATGCAAATTAAAACGACAAAGAGTTTCTAACAATAGAGTACGGAAAGGGAAAAATGCTAACATTCCAGTGGAGAAACCTGGCCGACACCTCTTTAACCAAGTGATCAAGCTTGATATTATGATTTATAATAAGAAATATATATTCGGTCTTAGTCCTGGCTCCTGGCACAGAGCTCCTAAAACCCTAGGAATCTCCTAAATGGTAACAGTGATAAAGGTGTCTTTTATGATGTTAACGAGGTGACTTGAAGCCCCTAAGTAAATAAAGGATGGGGGCTGGTTGCCAGGGGAACCAACAGTGATTAGAGGGTTGGAACTTCCAGTCCCACCTCCTCACCTCTGAGGAGAGGAGAGGGGATGAAGGTTCAGTCAATGACCAAGGGCTGAGAATTTAATCTATCAAGTCTATGTAATGAAGCCTCCATTAAAACCCCAAAAGGACAGGGCTTGGAGAACTTGCAGGTTGGTGAATCAGATCACATCCATGTGCCGGGTCCCAAACTCCGTGGGGACACAAGCACCTGCGTTCAGGACCTTGCCCTATGCATCTCTTCATCTGGCCATTGATGATTCATATCCTTAATATCCTTCGTAATAAACCAGAAATATAGTAAGTAAACCGGTTACCTGAGTTCTGAGAGCCGCTCTAGCAATTAACCGAACCTGGGGAGGGGGTCGTGGGAACTTCTGATTTACAGGCAATTATATAGCTAGGCAACCACCTGGGCTTGTGATTGACATCCAAAGCGTGGGCAGTCTTGTAGGACTGAACCCTTAACCGGCAGAATCTGACACTATCTCCAAGTAGTGTCAGAAGTGAGTTAAATTTGTGGACTCCCGGTCAGTGTCCACGGGGAACTGAGTTAACTGCTTGGTGATCTGGAAAAAACACACATCGGAATTGGTGTCAGAACTGGATCAAGAGACCATCACCAGTGACGAATCACAATGGTACCACATGCCCCTGATAGGAGGTAATGAGAAGGGCATTTGACCTGTGGGGTCTTCTTCCCCAAATTCCATAACCCCAATCTAATCATGAGAAAAACATCAGACAAAACCAAATTGAAGGATATTCTACAAAATACTTGACCAATACTCTTCAAAAGTGGCAAGGTCATGAAAAACAGGATAGACTGAGAAACTGTCCCAAGATCAAGCAACAGGACTGTGCTACTCTTCACATCAAGAGGAGGAATCCGATATTTTCCTCCCCCTGAAACGAGGCTGACCTTGTGATGGGCTTTGACCAGTAGAATGCGGTAGAAATAATATCTCAAGAAACCTTGCTACTTCTACTCTTGCTCTTTTGATGTCCTGGGGCTGTCACAGAAGGAAGTCTCCATGAATGTCAGCTACCACCTGGAGACACTGGCCACACCATCCGTGACGTTCCCTCTTCCTGCAGAGGCCCCAGACATGTGCTGACTGTGTCCTCATAAGTAAGCCCAGGCAAGGCCGGAGGAACTGACCAGCCAATGATATTATGAAAAATCATAAATCAGTGTTACTTTAAGCCACTACATTTTAGAGTGGTTTGTTACCAAAAACAGAAAACTAATATGGAGTGGACCTGCTTAACTAGAAGATCCATTACTCAGAGCCCTGCCCTCCACACACACTTAAGACCTCACCTCCCTCATTCTAGAACACTGAGGCTCATTCTGTGTTGACAGCAAATTTCATCGCAACAGCTACTGGATTCTGCAAGACCACTGAGACTCTCTCTAAGGCTAAGCCAGACAGGCAGGACTGGACAGGAGGGCCCTCAGCTTGAAACTGGGCTTGGATCCCACACTCTGGGCTTGGATCCTGTAGCCCATAGCCTAGGGGTATCCTTCACTGAGAGCTGTCAGACATTTCTACCACTGCCAACAAGATCCTAACAATGGTATAGGGCAGACCTCCTGTGTGCCATGGTCCTTTTTAGTGTCTGGTGAACACCCATTTATTATCTTACAGTTCTGGAGGTCAAAAGTCTAAAATAGGCTGGGAGGGCTGCTTCTCTTCTGGAGTTTCTAGGAGAATCCATTTCTTGGCCTTTCCAGCTTCTAGAGGCTACCTGCATTCCTTGGCTTGTGGGTCACATTACTCCAACCTCTGCTTCCTTCAATCACATCTTCTCTGACTCTCCTGCCTCCCTCCTTCTTTCCCCTAAAAGGACATGTGGGCACATGTGGATAATCCAGAATATTCTCCCCATCTCAAGGTCCTTAACTTAATCACATCAGAAAAATTCCTTTTGCCATGTTAGGTTCTAGAGTTCACAGGTTCTAGGGATAGGGATATGGACATCTTGGGGCGGACAGTATTCTGCCTACCAGAAAAGAAAAACAATGATATTGAAATAGAATTATCAAAATATTAAAACCCAAATTTTTTATCTAGTAGCATATATGCTTTATTGATCCATTAAACAAGATCTAGTGACAGGTCTAATAACTACCGCCATGATTTCAAAGTAATGATGAGCGTAAACAGTATTTTGAGATAACTGCAAAAACTGTAATGTGATATGAAAAGAGCTACATTTTGTCTTAGAGACAATGTCACAGGTATATTAATTCTACCTGCATTCATCATGGAAAGAAATGCTAAAATTTTAAGCAGAGGGCAGTTCAAAAAAAAAAAGGTCCTTGTTTTCCCTTCAAAGTTCATGGATCCCCAAATTCTGTCTCTCTAAGGACCAAGGTTGAGAACTCCTGGCTGAAGGTATTTGGCCCAGAAATGTTTGCATTTTCATAAGGGCCACCAACCCCCTAAAAGTTGAGACACCAGTTCAGGGATTCTGGGCACTCTTGACTCCCTGGGGCTCTCCTCCCTCAAACCATAGCACACACCAATGAGCAACGGGGGACTGCCAGGGTCGCTAACGTGCCAGGCACTGGGCCAGGTACTTTAGACACAGCACTGCAGTTACTTCTGCCTCAGCTCAGAGATGGGTACTAGCACTCTTATTTCCAAATGGGAAAAGTGAGGATCAGGGTGGTAAAATAATTTGCCCAAGGTCCCAGAGTTTGGTAAATGGTGCTTTGCTCCTTCTACCTGGCCATACTGACCGCAAGGGAGCCGGGGCCCCGTGGGAGGGAGAAGGCCCTACCTCCTTCTCATTTAATCTTCTGAGGGTGTTTCTTTAATTCCCCTTTGTGAACAAGAGGCTGGCCAGAGGACTGGGGACTGTCTCAACATCACAGAGTGGTAAAGAGTAGGGGGATCAGAAGCCAGGGGCTTTCAATGCTGATGAAAGAGGCGTCCCCAGGCCCTTTTCCCAGCCCCAGTGGAAGTAGTGAGGGTCCCAGCTTCACAAGGCTGAGCTCAGGTGGGGGTTCAGGACGCTTCTCAGAGGGTCGAGGCAAGCTGGGGCAGGCAGAGGCACATGAGGGGACAGATGGGGCAGTGATGGGGACAGGCAGCAGAGGTGGGGGCAGCCCTGTGCAGCAGGAGGTAGAGAGCGGGCAAGTGGGCTGCCAGCTGAGGCCTTACCTTGTTCTTACAGTGGATCTTGGCCCCGGAGTTGACCAGGATCTGGAGAATCCGTAAGTGGTTGAACCAGGCAGACAGGAGAAGCGCATTCATCCTAAACTTGGGGAGAGGACATGGCTGGGGGGGGGGGGGGGGGAGGGAGGAGACTATGAGGGGGCGTGGCTGTGCCACCTGAGCCCAAGTGTGCTTTGCACAATCGTGTAACCATAAGGGACCTTAAGTGCCACCCAGGCCGGGGAGCTCTGGGCCTTAGGAATTTAGAGTCCAGGAAATTGTTTTAAACAGAGGCTGATATACTATTGCAAACATTCCCCCCCCCAGTTTTATTGACAAATAATTGACATACATCACAGTATAAGTTTAAGGCACACAGCATGATCGTTTGATTTACATATATTGTGAAATGATCACCACAGTAGGTTCAGCTAACAGCCATCTTCTCACATAGATACAATAAAAAGAAAGAAAAGAAAAAAGGGAAAAAGATTTTCTCCCTGTGATAACTCTGAGGATTTACTCTCCCACCAACTGCAAACTTTTGTGGGGATACCAAATAAACCTTAAAAATAAAAGAGCTGCCATCTCCTCTCACCACCAGTTCACAAAGATGGACCGTTTTACCACAAAAAAGTTTGGAAGGAGCTGATCTCAGAGTATACTCTTTCCAAATACAGCTTCATGAAACATACACTGCATTGTTCTAATTTTCTGATTTGCTGTGACTGGTGAAGACCTCACCCTGGACTGGCATTTGAGAATCAACTGTTTGAACCTCCTGCGAAACATCCTCCAGGCAGATGGCTTAGGTCTGCGCACATGAAGGGACGGCATCTCGCCGCTGCACAAGACAACCACTGCACCGTCAAACACTTCTCACCGTGAAAAGTCCCTCCTCATGCGGAATTGAAACCTGCATCCCTGTGCTTTCCACCCTACTGGCCCTTTGGAGCAACTGAAAATAGATCTAGGCCTTCTTCTGATGGCAGCCCAGATCCTATTTGCAGGATGCTCTTCCTCAACATCTGCAAAGTGTTTCCAGGTCACCAGAGCCCCTGCACTGCCCTGCACCTTCGTGGGGTTCTGCATCTGAGGGCAGGCTTCATCCCCACCTCTACTGAGCCTTTCCTTCTCTGTGAAGAGCACCCCCAGGCCTCCAAACTCACCTCACCTCCCAGGATGCACTGACAGACAGCCACCCTCTTAGAAGTGGTTTTTCTCTGTCTTTCCTTGAGTGTGGTGGGATGTGGCAGGGTCTGAGCAGAACAGAGGCCTGGGAGATCATCACCACCTTCTGCCTACAGACCGCACTGGCCTCCCTCAGCTTTGGACAGCCCCAAAGTTTGTCTCTAAGTTGGGCGTTCAAAGACCAGAACATATTTTCCCACAGAAACAGGGTCATGTGTGGCTCTGGGTCCCCTGGTGAGGCCAACGGCCTGTCATTCATAGAATGAGCCCACAGGGTGACCTGGTACTGATGGGCCACAGAATCTCCCCACAAGCATAAGCAGGCTTGCAGTGGGAAAATGCTCCCAAGTCCAGCTGGGAGCAGAAATGCAGAGCCCACCTCAGGAAGGGCTAAGGGATCAGTGTCCCTGATGTGTCCTCATCCCCAGCACACTCTAAGCTGCCAGAAGAACAGGGTTGGCCTAGTCCTGAATCAGCCTCAATTTCACAGTCTGGACCTCTGGGGGAAAGGGTGCCTCACCCCAGCACCTGCACAGAGCACCCTGGTCACAACCACTTCCCCACTTGGCTCCACAAAGAGCTTCTGGGGGGGTACCAGGAAAAGGGGTCTTAGTGGTTGGCACCAGAATCCCTCTTAGGGACAGAACTGGGTTTGGGTAAAAGCTGTGACAAGTGGTTGGGATGAAAGGTGAAACCCAGAAAGGACTGACTGGGCATGATGGCAGGAATTTGGAGGCAGGGCGGGGACGGTGCAGACAATAACAGCATTGAAAGTGGGGCAGGGGAAGAGGCCAAGCCCAAGACAAGGAAAGGACCAAGGGACTTTAAAGAACAGGAATGGCACAGAACAAAATTGTGGTTGCCAAGGGGGAGGGGGGGAGGAGGGAGGGATGGGCTGGGACTCTGGGGTCAGTAGATGCAAACTGTTACATATAGAATAGATGGACAAGGTCCTACTGTATAGCACTGGGAACTATATTTAGTGTGCTGGGATAAACCATAATGGAAAATAGTATAAAAAAGTATGTATGTATATGTATAACTGAGTTACTTTGCTGTACAGCAGAAATTAACACAACATTATAAATCAACTATACTTCAATTTAAAAAATAAATTTAAAATAAAGAAGAAAAGAAAGCATATGGTAAAGGAAAGAAAATAATAAAGAACAGGAATGTCAAAGACAGGATTTTAGGATTTTTACATTGTTTTTGTGTGTAATGTAAATCCCCTCCACCTCTTATTTTGGAAAGCCTGCCCCACATCAGAGTGTGTGAATGGGGTCTCTATGGAAAGTGGGGAGAAGGACTGTGATCCATGTTAGGGGTGATGCCAAGGGAGAGACAAAGGACTATGTGCAAAATTTCAAGAGGACGGCGAAAACCGAGCAGAAGCTGGAAGTAAGAGTCAAGAGTGACCACAAGAATTTAAGCCCTTCCTCCTGAAACCTTGGGAAGGTGCTGGACCCACCATAGCACCTCAGATGGGGACTCTGGTCTCAGCTAGAACCAAAGAGGCCAGGAGACCCAGCACTGGCTCAGAGCTCAGCTACTGGTAGAATATCAGTAACTGGGGGCTGGCTGGATGACGAAGGACAGAGTCCAAGGGGAGAAGCCCACAGGAGCTTGGGAATGAAAAGGGTCAAGGCTCAAGGCTGGGGGAAGGAGAGTCATGGGAGACAGAGCCTCTTGCCAGTGGGAACCCCAAGGTACCTCACTGTCCTAGTTCCAGGAGCTATCTAGGACAGAGCCCTGTGGCTTTTCACTAGAGACCTTCCCCCCAACAACAGGATTTCCCTTCTCCAGTGTCTCCTCTACCCTCCTGTTATTCAAGTAGGCACGCTTACCAGCCTTCTTATTTTTCAAAACGTATTTATTGCTGTTTGCAAAGGAAACAGAGAAGATTTGTAAGCACCCTCTCTTACTCTTCTCCCTCATATCTTCTTTTCTCACTCAGTCCCTCAAGGAAGAAATAACAGAGCATGGTGGTGATAGTAAGGGTCTTTTTTTTAAATTTTATTTACTTATTTATTTTTGGCTGCGTTGGGTCTTCCTTGCTGCACGCGGGCTTTCTCTAGTTGCGGCGAGCGGGGGCTACTCTTCGTTGCGGAGTGCAGGCTTCTCATTGCTGTGGCTTCTCTTGTTGTGGAGCACAGGCTCCAGGCGCACGGGCTTCAGTAGTTGTGGCACATAGGCTCAGTAGTTGTGGCTCACGGGCTATAGAGCGCAGGCTCAGTAGTTGTGGCGCATGGGCTTAGTTGCTCCGCGGCATGTGGGATCTTCCCGGACCAGGGCTCGAACCCGTGTCTCCTGCATTGGCAGATGGATTCTTAACCACTATGCCACCAGGGAAGTCCCAACAGTGAGGGTCTTTGTGGGCAAAAGGCTGATGCAAGAAGTTCCAGTGGTTTATTGGGACGCTCAGACTAAGGAAACCAGACACTCTCCTTCCAGGGTCATCTCTAAATGAGGCCTAAGCAGGAGCAGGGAGGAGATGGGGTGAGGGAGTGGGGAGGTAGGTGTTGCTGCCCCACCCCCAGCCCTGACTTGTAATCAAGCCCCCTTCATGGTGGGTCCTCAGAGCAAAGAGAAGTCAGGACAAAGAAAAGTATTTCCATGGAAGCTAAGTTTCTGCAGAGAAGTTTATAATTTTTTAAAAATGTATCCCTGTCAAATGCCGTTGTCAGATTCAGCTCTTTATCCAAACCCATAGAGATAAATTTGTAGACCTTGTTATTATTCTGCTCTCTCTCTTAGCAGTGTGCTCCCTGCCAATTTGTTAAGTAAGACTGTTAGTCTTTATCCAGGCTGTGGGTTAGTGTTTGCCAGGGCAGAGCCCTGTGGCATATCATGAGAGACCTCCCTCCCGATGGTTTTACTAATGAGGCCTTTGTCAACCCACCCAATTACCTGTTCTACAGCCCATATTTCTCCCTGTTCACATGACATCACGAGGGACTGAAAAGGCTGAGAACTGAAAGGCCCTTGAAAATGAAGAGATCTTTATGACTGTGCAAAGGGAAAGTAGGATTGGTACAGTGTCATTGGCCCCTGAAGACTCACCCACTGCCCAGCCTGCACCTGTTTGTCTGTGTATCAGTGACAACCTCGGCAATGACAGCTGGCTCATAGACCCAGAATGAGTTCTGATGCCCCTGCCCCACCCTGAGACAGACAGGAAGACGGACATGCACACACACCAAGAGCAGCCGCACAGCCTGCTCGTGCCCTGCGCCCGCAGCCCAGTGCAGGGCCACCCTGCCCACCTGCCAGGAGGGAGAGGAAACCTGTGAGGCACCAGCTGGCTGCCTGGCCCACCTCGCACAGCCTCCCTACCTCCCGGCCAGGACAGCTGGTCTGCGGGGTGGAAGGACCTTTGCTGGCTCTGGTGACCAGTCGGCTGGGGCCACAGCCCCACTCTGACCCCCTCCTCTTCCACTCTGCAGCTGCTGAAATGAATGTAGTAAAACACCATGTCTAGATCCGTCTGTCCCCCACCTAAAACTCTTCCCAGCTTCCCACTGCTCTTGGATCAAATGCCTAAACCTTGGGCCTATGAGGCCCTGCATGGCCTGGCTACTGCTTCTCAGAAATGCCAGACAACATCCTGTCTCTAAGTCTGTTCCTGTTGCTCCCTCTGCTGGGCAGCCACCTGTGTCTGAGGATTATTTTCCAAGTCCCTGAGGAATCCTGAGTGCCTGGGTTCTGTCCCCTCCTTCCTTCAGAACAGGGTTGAAGGGTTCTGACCTATCCCCCACCCCCAAACTCACTGTCAGACCGCCCTGGCAGTTCACCCTGGTCTCTGGCCCTCAGCACATCTGAGCAGGCCTGGGGGAGGCCAGCCTCCAACCCATGAACCCACTTCCCTCCACAGTTTTCAGCATGTGATGGGGCAACAAAAGAAAACACTAATTTTCTGTGTGGTCTCTCTGGGGACGAGCTGTCCCTTCCTTTCCCATTCTGTCCCCTCTGCCTGAAAACACTGCCCTTTTTCACTGGCTCCCACAAAAATGCCACTTCCTTGGGAGGACTTCTGGCCGAGAGGGCCCCTCTGACGCCCACATGCTTTCAGATTGTGACAGTGGGAATGAACTATTTGTGAGATACTCTATTTAATGTCTGTTTTCTCCCACCAGACTATCAGCTCCAAGAGGGCTGGGACCATGTCTGCCATGGGTTCTGCTGTCCCCATCACCTAGCACAGTGCCAGCACAGAGTAAGCCCTTAATACTTATTGAACAAATGAATCATTCAATGAGTTAATGAATGAATGAATCTGGCATTAGCATCCTATCATCCATAAGATGCAAGTCCAACTTGCAAGTCCATGTTTCCTTGCAAGTGCTTGTCCAGGAGATGAGACCAAGGCTCCAGTCACCAATAATGTGCCGTGTGACCTAAGGTGACTTGCTGCCCTCCTCTGTACCTGCCTCCATCTAGAAATAGGACCAATCCTCCCTGCTCTCCTCCCCTCTCCAGGGGTGAGTGAGAACCACCAGGAAACAGGTAGATGAGTGCTCTGAAAACCAAAATACACCAGACACACCCTAGAATTCCTGCTACTATTACTGAGCCCTAGGCAGGCTGTGAAGACCCAAGTTGTACCCCTGTCACATCAAACCAGACAGAGGATAACTGCTGCAGTCAGGAATCCTGCATCCAACCCTTTCAGCCTCCACTGACCTCTCACCCAGGCCCTGGCATCTCCTCTAAGATGCTCCTGACAGCTAGAAGCCCCAACACACGGAGAGGCTACCCCACGTGGTACCCAGGCCCATCCCCAGTGTCCCCAACCAGAAGAATGGCTTTTCCCTCTGCCCCCTTCTCCAGCGGGGCTGCGAACCACCCCACCTGCACCCTTCCCTGAGGCCTGGTCTGCCTCCCCACCAGGCCAAGGGCAGGCCTGGGCCCACAACAGTTTTACACACTCAGTAGGCACAGCGGGCCCTCAGAGAACTGAACTGCCTAGGAGACATTCAGGCCAGGGAGGGGCTGTTCCCCAATCCTCCTTACACAGTGTCGGGGGTCCTCCGCCCTCATCCTGCACCCCTTTTTGTCCACACAGTGCTTCCTCTGGAGAGGCAGCTCCATGAGGCTGCCCGCCGGAACCACGTTGGGAGGATGCCTCAGGGACCTGGCGGTCCAGTGGTTAAGACTTCGCCTTCCAGTGCAGGGGGTGCAGGTTGGATCCCTGGTCGGGGAGTTAAGATCTCACATGCCTTGTGGCCAAAAAACCAAAGCATAAAACAGAAGCCATATTGTAACAAATTCAATAAAGATTTTAAAACAAAACACTGTAAAAAAAAAAAAAAAATTGCAACTGACACATCAGCCTCCCTTGGTCCAGAACCCCTGGACTTCTGACCAGAGGCACCAGGCCACCTTTGTCTCTCCAGGTGCCTGTCCCTATCTGCCAGCCTCCGACTCCTGACCTTTGACCCCCTGCCCTCCTGACTCTAAATCTGTTTCTTGGAGGAGTCTTCTGGATGGGTCACAAGGATTAAGAGTTAAGAGCACTGGAATCCTGACCCTGACTTTGGGCCTCAGAGATTTTGAGGCAAAGTGGACAAGGAGGCCAGGGCCTGAGCCTCCCCCAAGTTAACACGTGCCGATGTGCCTGCCCCAGGCTCCAGGAACTGTCCCTCCTGTGTGGAGGTGACACTATAGCATTATTCCCAGCTGGAGCCCCTTTACACACGTGATTTCTGGCCCTGATGTGTACTCTCCTCCCGATTGGCTCCTTCATCCTCCCAACGTGGTTCCGGCGGGCAGCCTCAGGGAGCTGCCTCTCCAGAGGAAGCACTGTTGGGACAAAAAGGGGTGCAGGATGAGGGCGGAGGACCCCCGACACTGTGTAAGGAGGATCGGGGAACAGCCCCTCCCTGGCTTGAATGTCTCCTAGGCAGGGGGTCTTCCAGCTCAGAATGGTGGG